ATATATATATATATATTTTCGTTTGCTCGGTTTATATATATATATATATGGAAGTATAATAGAAATAGATATAATAGAATAGTAGAAATTTGGAGAGAGAAAGAAAAAGAAAGGAAGGAAGGAAGGAAGGAAGGAAAAGTTGTCCATTCTCGCGGTGCGATGGTCCACGAGCGGAGGCAACCCTTCTTTCCGATCAGGCCGTTGAAGTCACCGATACTTCCGATACGCGGCTGATATATAGAACGCGGCGCGTCGTGTCCTCGTGGCGGTTGGCCGTGGGGAAGGGGGAGGAGGGTTGGCCACCCTTTGCGCCCGTTGCGGCAGGTTTTGGAGCGCGGCCGGGGCGCGGCGCCACCGTACAGGCTGCGCGGCGGGCGTCCCTTGGCGCCGCGCGGCCCAACTTTTGTCCAACGTCGCGCCGCACTCGGTCGTGAGACGCTTAGTTTCGCGCGCCGCGATGGGACGCCGCGTATCCATCGCGTAGCCACCGCGTTCCATCGCGTAGGGAAAGAAAAAAAGGAGAGAAAGAAAAAGAGGAAGAAAACGTTGCGTTTCCCCTTCCGTCGAACGCGCGACATCACCGTTTCCTCGTCGAGGAGGAGGAGGAGGGGGAAGGCAGGGACATAGGGGGGGAGCCTGGCCGCTCGGCCGACAACGTGGACAATAGTTTCGCCGGGGTGGAAAAGTGCGTGGCTGGAGGGATGACTGCGAGGGCTGCAGGAGGCGAGCGTTCGAGTTAGTCTCGGGCAGAACACAGGCCCAGCAGGATCTACGTTCACGCGGCCGCTGCGCCTCGTACCGCACGTATCACCGCTCGTATACACCTCGCGCGTGCAAGGAAGGAATTTCCATCTCTCGTTCCTTTTTTTTTTTTTTGTCTTTTTCTTTTCTCCCTTCGCGAGTGAGGGAAGAGCGGAGAAACAGGAGGAGGAGAAAAGCTTTCGAACAGTGCGCAGGTGATTGTTTGTGCCTTATATTATTTTTCCTTTTCTCTCTTCTTTCTTTTTTCCTCTTTTTCTCTTTTTTACGATTGTGACGCGCGCGCGCGCGTGTGTGTGTGCTCTTGTGCGTCCCCCTCCCGATCTTTAATCCTCGCGATTCGGGAATAAATAGATAGATAAATAGATAGATATGGGAATCGGTACGAAGAGTTGTTTCTTCTCTGATCGAAGGGAGGGAAAAAAAGGATTCGTTTGTGGTGATGACAGTGGTGGTGGTGGTGGTGGTGGTGATGCTGGTGGTGATGGTGGAGGTGGTGATGTTGATGATGGTGGTGGTGGTGGTTGTTGTCGTCGTCGTCGAGTGGTGGAGAAGCAAAAGCGCGTCCGTTGGCAGCCCTTTGATCGCGATCCTGTACCGCGGTGGTATCTCTTGACGCGCACGCACGTGCAGCCCTGCCTCTTCGGATTATCTGAAAGCCGAAACGCGACCGGCTCGAACGTGACCATTGGACGGATTCCTGATCGTCGCCCGGTCGACTCTATCTCGACCGGTCAACCAACTCTCTGTGGCCCGGCCGCAGAGAGAGAGAAAAAGGCGAGAACCCGAGAACCGGAGTGATAGCGGTGACTGGCTGACTAGCTCGAATCTAGCCAACCGTTTCTTCGGGCCAACCGAGAGAGAGAGAGAGAGAGAGAGAGAGTTGATCGAAACCCCGAGAAACACCGTGAAAACACACTCTGTCCTTCTCTTCTTCTTCTTCTTCTTCAACGACAGTAAAAACCTCGTCCATAATCTTTCCCTATTTTTGAAAATATAACTTCGAAAATTTCCTCCCTCGGCGAGAAAAAGATTTTTGGAAAATTCGGTGGATCGACGGTAAATGACGATGTAAAACCGAAAGAAGTCTCTCTCTCTCTCTCTCTCTCGTCCNCTTCGAAAATTTCCTCCCTCGGCGAGAAAAAGATTTTTGGAAAATTCGGTGGATCGACGATGTAAATGACGATGTAAAACCGAAAGAAGTCTCTCTCTCTCTCTCTCGTTCGAAAGAATAATATTCCTTCCGGGATCCGTCTCTCGACGACAGTCGCTGGAGCCAAAAAAAAAAAAAAAAAGAAAAAAAGAAACATCGAGATCACCTCGAGATTTCGAAGAAAAGCGGGGGGAGGGGGAAATTTCGATCTCTCTCGATTGTTCTTATCCGAGGCGGGGGAGAGAGAGAGAGAGAGAAAAAATAGAAGAGGAGGAGGAAGAAGAATATCCGCGATGTCCCTGAGCGCGGCTCTTGAACTTAGAGAAGCGCATCCTTCGCTCGCCGGAAGATATTGTTACAATCGCCCTCGAACAGCGTCGCGTTGCTTGCCGAACGGGGGTCGCGACGCGAGGGGGCCGCGGGGGCTGCCGTTTATCGTCGACCAGAGTATATTGAGTAGCGTGCGACCGCGCGAAGAAAGTGAGTCCCGTTGCTGCGAGCAGCGAAATTCCACGCCGCTCATCGAGGCCCCTCATCGAACACGGAGTGACAACACGGGGTACAACGCACCGTCCTCCTCCATCCTCCTCGCTCTCTCGAAATTCTTCCTCGGGGGACGAGATCGGTGGCTAAGACCGGGTGCGCGTATTGTACGCGCGTTCCCGCGCAGTGTGACGTGAGCTAGTAACATTTGGACGATTCTATGGAAGAGTGGGTTTCGTTTGTGGAAAAGACGAATATGTAATATAATCGAAGCAGTGAGTTTAATTTTATCGAGGAAGGAGGAGGAAGAGGAAGAAGGTTATTCATAAGGTTTCAAGAATCTCTTTATCCGTTCGATTTCCATTGGAACGAAGACGAGGTGGACTAAGAAGAGGAGGAGAAGGAGGAGGAGGAGGAGGAGGAAGAAGCGCGATGGCGATGCACGCCGCGGCTCGCGTGTACGCGCGCGCCGGCCCGCGCGTTGACAAACTAATCCCCGCGTTATATCGGGTGATCGTGAAGCACGCGGTGACAAGCCGGCGGTATTTTCGTGGACGAATTTTCGGGGCGCGCCAATTCTTTTCCGACCTCGACTCGAGAGCCGAGCTCGGGCCGAGGAAAATGTGAGCAAATTTCGAGAAGTTTCCACGCTTTCTCGGACGTCTTCGGTCGGTTTCGAGTCTATAATCTTCGCGCCGTTCAATTTGGATAGAAAAATATTCGAGGAACGAACGAATCGATCTTCGGTACAACTATTGCACTTCGTACGAGTTTTCGTTGATTTCGAACGAAACTCGATCGCGTTTCTCGCTGACCGAAGAGAAAAAAACGAGGAAAAAAGCACGAGGAGTCGAGAAGAGAGATCGATGATCCCGCGTCAAGGGGGAATCGATAGAGAAGGCAACAGCAACAAGTACGAGGCGTTGGTGGCACGAATCGAGTTACCAGTTGTTTTCGTTTCCACGTCAACAGCGACTATCATCCACCAACGATGATTAACTCGTGTAACCGGCGAGCGAACGCCGCGCAAAATTAAAGTTGCATTATCCGAGGAAACCGGCGCCGGTTAACTCGACTGTCACGAAGTGTGCTTAACACGGTAAACGCGGATTAACGCGTTCGCCCGAAGCTATGCGTCTTCCGCTTCGACAACATCTCCTTCGATTTTTCCTTCCATCCGGTCTCTAACGATCTCTGATGCGCTAATAATTCAATCGAGTCGAAAGATTACGTGAATTTTCGTGAACACGCGAGTGGATAGATCGAGTTCGAGTTCGATATTTATAAGCTTATAAGTTTCTTCCATTCGTTCGGAAGAGAATTACCTTTTCAACGCGATCGTTTTAATCCCATAAACGAAAAGGGAATGATCGAATTGGAATGATAAAGGAGAGGACACCGTGTAATCAAAGTTGCTCGCGCGTCGTCGAGATTCCCGAAAACCACGAATTCCGTCGTAGTAAGCAAAAGTCGCCGAGAAACTATTTGGTTGGGAAACTTCGTATAAACCGCACGTAAGAAGTTGGAATAAATTCTACTGTTCTATCGAAACTTGGAGGGGGGGGAGAACGAGTAGTCGCTTCTGAAACGATTCTTTCTCTTTTTTTTTTTTTTTTTGAAAAATCTCCGATTGCGAGGCTGGGCTGACGCGTTCGTGCCGTACGAAATTGCCGTCGATTCCGAAGAAGAAACGCGAGGGGGAACGCGAGCTCGAATTCGTTTCGATTCCTTTCGCCGTTAAATAGTTGGATGACGATGTCGTGAGAAGAAAGTTCGTATTCTTCTTCGTAACAAGGAGGGGTATCGTTCGAAGGAAAATGCGACGATAAATAAATGGCTCGAAGGCGAAGAGAACGAAAAAAGCGACATTTTCGTCGATTTGGCGGCGAAGGGGGTCGAGGAGAGAGAAAGAGAGAGAGAGAGAGAGAGAGAGAGAGAGAGAGAGAGAGAGAAGAGAAGAGAAAAAGAAAAGAGAGAGAGAAAAGGAGAGCGCCGTTTCTCTCGGTGGCGAGAGGGGTCAAGCTGGACGCCCCTTGTGGAGGAACCCCCCCTTGTGGAAACTCGATCCACACACGCTTCCTCTCTCCCTCCCTTCCACCCTCCTTCCGTACCTCCCTCCACCTTTCTCCACGTTCGAGAACGTCGTACGAAAATCGTAACGGCGCTCGCGACAAAGGTAACGCTCGGTCACCAACGAGCAATCGAAGGGTTACTGTCTGCGGGACGAGAGAGAAAGAGAGAGAGAGGAGAAGGGGCGGGAGGACGGTGACGAGGGGGGTTTGGAGGGTGGAGGGTGGCTGGAAAATAAGAAACACAGATACAAAGAGGAGAAGAGGGAGAGAGGGAGAGAGAGACGCCGGGAGAAAAAGAGGAAAGAAGAAAAAGAAGGGAAGCGAGGATCGGCAGGGGTTGGAGAAAAGGGCGGTCGGGGAGCTGAAAATACGAGATCCGCTCTGGTAGGGACCACCTAGCCAGCCTCCGGTCCTTTCCGCGGCGTCTCCCTCCTTCGCGCAGCTTATCCCCACCGAGGCGACGCTCTCCTCTGAACGTGTGAGCCGGGGAGGGTAGTGGGGGGAGCGGGCGGCGCGCGATTGGCCGGCCGGTGGGCCGGCCGGCCCCCACCACGCCACCTCGGCCCCGCCCGACCCCCTCCACCAGGCGTGCACCTCCTCCAGACATCGCATCGGTCGTTCGGTAGCTCTTAGTTTCAGGTTAGGAGCCTGCTAGGACGGGTCTCGTACTCTCTCTTCCTGAGGTCAGCCGAGACGAGTCGAGACGAGACGGGACGGAACGGAACGGGACGAGACGAGGCGAGGCGAGGCGAGGCGAGGGAAAAAAACGAGCGGAGCCAGTGAAGTGTGACCGCGTGCAGTGCATGTTCGTCGGGTTTTTCCGCGCGAGTGTGGGTGTGATGCCGCCGGGAGAAGCGCAGAGAGAGCAGCAACATCAGCAGCGGGCAGCCTGACGTCCGGCTTGAGAAAAAAGAAAGAGCCAGGAGAGATTCGAAGATATCCGGTGGTATCCCTCCCGAGGCGAGGGAGACCAGGGAGGCGGCGACGAGCGCGTCGATGACTTTGGTGAACTCGGGAAGGACATTGTGCGATTTCGTGTGACCGTGGGGCCAGTGTGTGGTGCGACGACGGGTCGAGTGTGTTCCGGGACAGTGTCCGGGACTAAGGAACAGGGAGAGACGGTAGCGACGGGCCCGCCGGCCGAGGCGTGCGCCCCAGGAGGCGTCGGCGGCGCCGGCAAACCAAGGGGAACAGTTTCGGCCTCGGCGGAGAAGCTCGAAGCCGTCAAAGTGGCTTCGTCACTGGGCCTCCAGGGGCCATCAGCGCCGATAGGGGCCCAACTACTGGCTACTGCCGGTTCGGAGGATGCACCGTCCGTGTACCACGCGAATCTGCTAGCCAGCAGCAACGCGTCCGTGCTCCAACAGCCCGTTCTAGCGAGCCTGAACACGCCGGCACTGGCCAGCATGCAGGCCTCTGCGGAGGCCAACTCGCTGGACATTCAGGCCATGCAGTCCATGGACTGGCTGTTCAAGAAGGAGCGTATATACCTGCTCGCCCAGTTCTGGCAACAGGTAAGTAGTAAGTGCCGGATAACGATGTGCGTTGTATCATCGCGTGTGTGTCCTCTCTTTCTCTTTCTCTCTTCTTTCTCTCTCTCTCTCTCTCTCTCTCTTTACCCGCGTGTGCACCCTTCCCAGTGTCGGGAAACGGATAATCGCGACCCTCTGCACCCTCGGCCCGATTCTCGCTCACCCGAGGGAAAACGACACAGTCCCCGCGGCTACACCCCGCGGACACTTGTAGCTTCCGGGCCCGGTGGAGCGCGTACAACCCTTCCTCCCGTGTGACCAAGTGACCCAAGTGTACGATCTTTTTCCGATCTCATTCGATTTTCCGTATTCGTAAGCGCGAAAGGTGAAGTTTACGTACGTGCGTACGACTTATTTCTTACGGTTGACTGAATTGTTGGCCAAATTTTCTCTTCCGACGCGCGAATTCGAAACGCTGTGCTCTTAGAGAGAGAGAAGAGAGAGAGAGAGAGGGGGGGAGAGGGAGAGAGAGAGATCGTGTCGCGGAAATTTGGTGACAATTTGTCCCATTGCTTCTCTCCCCTCGGCCAATCGAATCACGTCTCGCGAGTCTTTCGACCGGTAATTGCTGGTCAGGTTGCCGAGGCCACTTGGCCGAGCCCGAGTTTCAACGAGGGTGCGAGGGTGGCGAAGTTTCCCCGACACTTGCTGTTCGGAGGATAGTTGGGCGATTTAGGGGATGGCTTGACCGACTTGCGGCAAAGTGGCCCACATACAGTGGTTGACAACCTGATTTTCTTTGTGCAGGATTCTCCTCGGAATCCACGTGTGCAATCGAATCGAAAAGTGTCTTTTTTTTTTCTCGCCCGAAATTTCCAATTTGTTTCTTCAACGATGGAGTACAGAATAGCGAGAGATTTCGTTCGATTTTTCGAGAAAACGCGTTGTGCCGGGCACGTTAAATTATTTTCTCTAAAATGAGATGTTAAGAACGTTCAAATAATCTTTTTTTTCTTGCATTCCTGTCGAACTTTAAAAAACGGAAATCGATCTCGAAAAATTACGATTATCGATGATTGGTTTACAAATTTTGCGGGAAAGAGATGTGACAGGAGTGAATGTGCGTGAGCTCGAAAAAGAGCCGGTAATATGAATTTGTAAACAAAGTATATCGTAAATAAGAAGGAGAACTTTTTACAAGTCGTTTCCAATTTCGCATATCTTTGACAGGTATTTTCTGAACGTTATCTACGGAAACGGAACGGAAGCATAATTGCAACAAATTTTCTGACACGATGGTCTTCGACGTTGGTGTGTTAAACGCGTTACGTTTTTTTTATCGGTCAACTTCTTTCGCTACGCAAAACTTGTTTCGCGATTAATTTCTTTGTTTCCCGTGGACTGGGCAGAAATGCGGTTATTATTTATTTATCTTGCTCGCGCCTCGAGTCAGCGAGGAGAGACGTGATCGAAAATTGACAGCTCTGCATATCTCTTGCGATATTTCCTGACGCTTGATTTTTTTCTTCTTCTTCTCCTTCTCCTTCTTCTCCTTCTTCTTCTTTACGATTAATAAACTCGAACTTTTTTTTTCCACACTGTTGAAATTTTCGTCTCTAACCGCAACATCTTATCGAACGCAACGTAATTAATAAATTCACGCGTACGTTCAATTATTTTTTTTTTTTTTTTCAACTTTTACAATTGTTATATACAATAACCCGTATACAACTTGCCTCTATAATTAAATTACAGAGTTGAGTAAATTTTGATAACAAACATTTATCAAACATCGGTCGGCACAATCCTGTGCAATAACGATTAATATTTCCAACAAAACATTACGCGTATACCAGTGTATACACACATAGTGTACGATTAATAACAAAGTGAACAACAATTACGCAATTTCGCTACTTTAATAATCCCTCGAATCGACAAACCGCGTCTCTCATTGACAACAATCCGGATTACACTACGCGTGAAACGAAATGATCCTCGTCGAACGAAAAAAAAAAAAAAAAAGAAAAAATTCCCGAGAAACAAAAAAAAAGGGATTAAGATCAAGATTAAGGATTTAATACTCCTCCTTAATATTAAAGCTCTCTTCCCTCTTTCATCCTCGAATATAAATACTCGATAAAATACTCGAGAATTCGTGGCGGGCACAGGATCACGAGGTAACCGGGTCGGGGCTATCGATGCCGCATAGTTTCATAATTATGCGTATTGATTAGGCCGCGTGGAGAGGTGGTGGTCCTCCGCTCGTCGAATCCTTCGGCGGCGGAGAAAGCCCGTTTATCCGCGAATTTGTGAAACGCGGGGACAATTATATTGGCAAAGCTTGTCGTCACGTCCCCTTTCCCGACTTAATTCGCTCGGACGTAATCGCAAATGGACGCGAATTGCAGAAAAGGTCGGTCGCGTCGGAGGAGGAGGAGGAGGAGGAGGAGGAGGAGGAGGATCGATGAAGCGCTGTATAACCCGCTGACACGTTTCGGAGGAAAGTGAAAACGGCCAACCGTTTCGAACACGAATTTTTCCGTGTGTACAATGCGATATAATGCAAGTTCGATCTTATTCGTCGAGGGATCGGATTCTCGATTCGGGGAGCTCTCTTTAGGCCCGCGAGACGGAGACCGATTCTTTTGTCGAATCGAGTCGACGAATGAGTCAGGCAACGGTTTCGGTTTCTTGGAACGCTGACAGGTCCGCTCCGATGACAGATACATGGTTTTATGATGCGGAGGCGAGCGGTGAGGGGAGACGTGTGGTCTTTTTACTGTATCGTGTATGTATGTATGTATGTATATGTATATATATATATAGACATATCGGAGAGAATAAGATCGCGAAAATTTTTCTTTCTTCTTTTTTTCGTAATTTTCGTAATAATCAGAGATATGACATAACAAGGAGAAAAAAGTAGGGTAGAATCGCTCGACCAAAATCGAAGTAACAAGGACCAAGAGTATAGCAAAATTCGCTACAGCAAGCGCATAATTGGTGAATATCGATTTACCTCGATCGGAAAAGAAATTTTCCAAAAACTCGTGTGAGGAATCGAAATGCGTACGGAACGCACGGATTACTTTATCGACGGCCGATCCCGGAATCGACGTTGAGCGTTCTCGTTAAGAAATTCCACGTCGTCGGTCGTCCGTCAGTCAGGCAAAAATAATGTCTCGCGAGGATTGATTTACGCGGGCAGCCAAAAGCGAGGTCACGCCGGACGACGTTTCCCGATTTTTAACCAACGATCCTTTCCCTCCTCCTCCTCCTCCTCCTCCTCCTTCTCTCCCCTTCCCCAGGTCCGTCGACTTTACGCCGAAGTCGAGCCGGTGATTCAGGCTCGGGAGGGAGGGGGGCGTTGGAAAAATCGGTCGCCGCCAATTATTTAGTCGTCCGCGCGCGAAAGGGACGTAGGGTTAGCCGGTTGACGAACGGCAGAAAATTTCTGGCGTCGGTGGCGAGGAGTGAAACGCGCGTCCGCCCGTGTTTCCACGGAGCGGCCGTGCGCGTGGAACGAGACCACGAAGCGTACTCCCAATTAGGAGCGTGTCGACCGTGAATGGACAAAAGTTTTGCCATCGCTCCGTTTTACCCCCTCCCGCGCCCCCCACCCCGCCGCGCGGCCGCCCGTCCCCACCCGACCGGCCCGATACCGACCCGGTGGTGGGGGGATCCTTGACGCGGTTCCCGAGATCCCCGTGTGGCGGCGACACTTGCCGAGACGCGGAGACGACGCGACGCACGCGGAGACGTGAGTCACGCGTGCTCTCCGATGCCGGTGAGAAGAGCAACCCGAAGCGCGGACAACTCGTTCGCCGGATGCCAAACACAACGACCGATGCCAACGCGCCTTCCCCCCATCTTTCCCCCTTCCCTTTCTCTCTCTCTCTCTCTCTCTCCTTCTCCTTTATTCTTTTTCTCAAAGATCGTCCCTTTCTCTCGAGATCGACGATCTCGTAAACTTATTATTTACTTTACTTACTATATCCATCGTCGTATTTAGGATAGGATAGTGGTTGGATTGGAAAATTTCGATGATGCGGGAAAGAAAGTAGGTTTCTCGAAAGGGCAATTGGGTGGCGAGGCGTGAAAACGGGCCGTATCCCACTGACACGAGGAACTGTATCGGGCGGCGTGTCGGCCTCGAAATAGAATATAGAGGGTTATTTCGGATGCGTCGTCTCGTTGGTCTAGTCCAGGGCTGGTCTAGACCTCCGGGGTTTTACGAGCTGGCGGCAGGCGACACGAGCGCATAGGTGGTGACTAGAATCGAGCGCAGGTGCACACCGTGCCGCGTGTATATTTGCCATTCGTACCCGTCGCCTTATTAAAACGACGGCGTTACCGAACGGCGCAACGACTGTCCAACACCATCACCACTACGACCGTGTCGACTGTAGTGTACACACTACAAGGGGGAAGAACAACGGGGGTGGTTTTGCAGGGGCTGATCGTGCGTTAGGGGTTATGTGACAGGTGTTTTTTGTAATTTATACCATGTCTTCTCTCTCTCTCTCTCTCTCTCTCTCTCTCTTCCTCCTTACCTTTTACTTATCGTGTCATTCGTACAAATTATTGTCATGATTCACGCTAATGCGCTTTGAATGCTATATACGCTCGGCAAAGCGTTGTTGAGTGCCGGTATTTTTCTACGGCTTAAGCGGGGTTACGAGAGAGTCTATTATAGCGATTATGGTAATTGTGGAGATCGTGATATAAAAGATTCTGACTTTTGGCGGATAACTTTGATAAATACGAAAGTAACAAATATATACGTTATATACGTTGTTTAGGTATAAGAATATCTATTTGCAAATCGAACTGTTTATCTTTTACAATGATTTCTCGGTACTGAAATATTCGGTACTGACGATCCGTTTCGAATTGAAACGGGACGACGAAAAGTGGACGGACAACGAGGCGGGTTATTAATTTTCGTGGCCGTTATTTCTGAAATCGGCGGTTTAACTGCCGGTGCCGTACAACTCTCCCGCCAAACAGTGATTCACCCACACTCTAAAAATATCGGG